AGGAGGAGGAGGAGGAGGGGGAGGGAGAGCTGGTTATGTTCATTCCTGGGCATGTACATGCACAGCATTTATTTGCAAATTGAGGTGCTTAAGAAAGCTGTGCATGCAACAGTCAGGAGCAACTCGACGCCTTTTATTGCACAACCAAATCTTTTAAGAATAAGCCATGTGTAATAGGGAGCGTTATAGTTTTTCTCTACTGTGAAGTACCTTGAAGATAGTTAAGTAATTGGCGATTATTTCTCGAAGCTCCTTATTTACCAATCCTATTTTTGTTCAGTCTTTTAAAGCTTAAAATTAGAATGAGAGAACATGTAAACGCAGCCTTCCTCCCTGTATCAAAAAACCTTGCAAGGAATCCATCAGCAGCCGCTGAGGGAAGGAACCTGTTGATCTGAGACTCATCCCTTCTCCACAAAGGGAGAGCTGTCGCTCCAGGCAGGTGCTCCATGTCCTAGCGATGGAGAGTTTTGCTTAAGGACAGCAGCTGCTAAGCTCTGTCAGCTTCTAGCTGGCCTGTCCCGAGATGGGGTGGCACTGCTGGCCCCAGAATGCTGAGAGCTCACTTGCCCTCTGACACCTGCTGCCTGGAAGCACTTCCACCAACCCTTACTGGCTTCCCTCGCTCTTCCTCACGCTGGTGTGCAGCTGGCTCAGGCGACCAAGCCCTGAGGGACGATGGCAGCTCCTGGCTTCAAAAATGAGTTTAAGAAGGGGATGAAGGAAAGCCCTTCAGCTACTTTCTGTTCCTCCAGCCCCTTCCATGGTTTCCACCTTGGGGCCTTTGGACTTGAACCTCCTCAACCTGGGTTGCTTTCCGATCAGACGGTCACAAGGCTGGCTCTTCCCATTCTCCAGGCTCTTGCAAACATCGCTCTTTAAAGAAGCCTTTGCCTCGCCACCCAAGCAAAGCTACCTATCCTCAGCCACTCTGTTGCTGACTTGGTTTTATTTGCCCTCGGCACACATCTTGGTTGTTTGTTTTTATGTATCTGATTTTGTCCTCTGACTAGAATGGAAGTTCCATGTGGACAGAAAGACCACGTCAATCTTATTCCCACGTAGACTCAGCATCATTAATCCTAATTGGCATACATTAATCAGAAATCTCCTGCAAGAATGAATAAATACACAATGAACAGATGAACGAGACAATCTGGCAGAGGACCGGTGGGCAAGGTCAAAGCAGACGCTGTGACTTGCGTGAGCACACGCTGCTGTGCTGTTTGTTTGCCTGTGGGACCAGGCTGAGCCCCATGGGCATGAAGCAGGGCCACGGAGGACGTGGCGTTTTACTCAGAGCTCCGTATGTAAAAAACACTCCAAAAATGATTTGTAGGAGATGCCTGAAAGTGAAATAGAGAAAGGGGGCGGGGGGCGGGGAGAAGAATATTTGGATATCAGCAAGGTAGTTCTGCCAACCTACTTATGCCCTGTGACATGTAGCTGTGGACTGCTGAAATGCTGAAAGACAAATGAGGAAGCAAAGCATGTATTCTAACCGCACTCACAAGGAAGACTGAGGTGCTAATTTTTAAGCAACCATCATAAATCTGATTTCAGGATATTTTCCCACTAGCATTATTATTATTATTATAATGAAGAGTGTAAGCATAATGATGAGATCCGTTCATGCATTTCTCAATGCCTAGGAAATCAGGCTCACTCGTGAATCCCCAGCTGAGACGTCTGAGAAAAGACCAGGTTTCAATGGACAAAAACTCTGGGGAGGGAGGGTATATGGGAGGGGAGTGGTGGTATGATATATACACATATAATACCTTAATTAAAAAAAAGAATAAATAAATAAAATAAAAAAGACATACCAGAAGAAAAACAACAAATATTCAGAAAATAAATTTTAAAAAAAGAAAGAAAGAAAGAGAAGACCAGGTTGCAGTGGAAAGGGCGGAACACTCATGATACCCACACGAAGACAACTAGCTGTTCTTCAGTGGAGAGCCATTCAAAGCGCATTCAGACCTTCGGATGGACATCAAATCACACAACCCACAAACTGTGCCCTCCATAGCTCCTTACGTGGTGATCAGCGGAAGGCAAAAATAAAGCAAAACACAAAACGGACTTACGAAATGAGAGAAGTATGGGAGTGGAACCTCCACTAGTGTTTTAAAAACAAACTGGTGATTTTTCTCTGAATCAGAATGGAAGGGAAGCATCTATTCCATGGAACGGTGATTCAGAAGAGGGTTGGAGGGGGTGTTCATAGGTCATAGGTCTAATGATTTGGGGCACCTATTCTATTACTAGGTGTCAAAAATCATTAAATGCAGAACTGACAAATGTTCTAGTTACTGTTGTGTTTGAAAAGCATTCCGGATTCTAAGAAGATGTTTGTATATTACTTTCCTTCTTTTAAACTGATTTGTCATTTCATACATTCAAGTTGAACAAATATGTTTTCCCTAACTTCACTGAATATCAGAATCAGGCTCAAAGACAGACTCAGAGAAAGAGTTTTAAGATTATTCATACAACCTATGACATATAATATTAAAAATACAGTGCAATCATTATTTATATCATCAATTAAAAACAAAACAAAACTACTTAACATGGTTATTAACAATTTACCCATTTTAGTTCATATGGAATTTTAATGTCATTTACTGAAAAAAAAAAAAAAGAATTCTAAAATGATATAAAATGTGATTCAATATGATTAACCCCTAATCACTATAGTAGTCTAAAGGTGTGGAATTTATAACCTTGCATATATGTTTACAAAGTGTGGACTCAGGGGAAAACATTTAATTTACCAGAAACTCCTTTGATATCTGATGCATACGAACAAGCAGGACAGTGACAAGTTTCAGTGTGAAAGTCTTTTCCGGTGGCTCTGACTGGCCTTGATGTTTCTCTGTTCCTATTTTGGGCACGAAATTGACCTAGAAGACTGTCATTTTTGTCCCAGCTTTGCTTTCCAGAGCCCCAAGCAAAGCCATCACCATAAATCAGGCAGCAGGACCCTGAGACCAACTGAGTCATAGACCCCACTTGGTCACATGTGCTCAAGGTGTTGGGATCCCAAGAGAGTGACGCCAAACAAGTGGAATCAATTTAGGTCAGAGTTAGAAAAACAGAGTGCTCCCCCTCCCGCCCCCACCGCTGGCAGTGGAAGATACCACAGCCCTGCCCACTCAAACACGGGGAGCAGTAACTAAGCCCAGGAAAATATCTAGGCCAGGGCAAACTCTTTCCACAGTCCAACAAGAAGGGGGAAAAAAGAAAAAAATGATATTTGACAACCCACGAATGTTTAAGTAGTGTGGTTCTCCTGTTCAGCATGAAAGCACTCTTGTTGCTGCTAAGTTATTATTACCATCACATTTTTCACATTTGTGCCCAATACCATTTAGCCTTAGGGTATTTAGGCTTATTGCTTTAAAAACACAGTGTTAAGCATGTTTAAATCACTTTAAATATCTCAAAAAGCAGCAAACACACAGCCTACCTGCTTGGGCACGCAAACTTGAAAAGAAAAGCTTTACAGAATGGCCCGCAGGTCAGCCGGTCCTGGCCGAGGCAGACGGTCAGGAAGGAGCGACAGAAAAGAAGGCCCTCTGGAAAGCCTCCGCCTGGCTTCCCTCGGGTCAGCTGAACTGTGAGCAAACATGCCCTGCAAGCTGCACTCTCATAAAGTGCTGCAAACTCCCCACAGACACGGCCCCTCAAAACTGTGTACAAATGAGATGCGTTTAATGAACGACCCTTTATTTGCCAATAATTCTGCTTAAATTAAGTCCAGCAGACTCTTCAAAGGGACCAAAGAAGCCCGCTTGTTAAGAAGGATTCTATATATAGACATCCAAGACAATTCTATGATGCATGTAACCAAATATATATAATTATCCTAGCTCCTACATTCCCATTATCTTCATAAATATAGGATAAAAATCAGCCTAAGTGACTTTCTCAGACCTCCGCAAGGATTAAGACTAGCCAGCCAGCTCTTTAAAAGTATACGTATGTAGTAAAGATCAAAAGCAAATGTTCTGGACAGTTCTTTTCTACTCATGAGTTTTTACTAAGAATGTGTGCAGTTTTCAGGGAAAACACCACAAATGACAGCTGTTCAAAAGCATGGAAATTAATTGGCAGCAGGAATTTCCTTGACTAATAGGGAAAAACTTAAAGTCACATGTTTTGATGAGCTTATTTTTTTCCCATCTTTAGTCAAGCATATTCACTGTTAATGATTAAGATTTTCAAACAGAAATAAACCAAGTACAATGCTGAGTGAAATCCAGCTATTCCTGAGTGAACAACGGCATTAACGAATGAATTTTAGGTGTAAATAATTCATATAAAAGGTTCCACTTGCAGGTCTTGATTTTTATAGGAACTAAACTATGACAACAATAAGAAGAACAATATAGTGATTGTATTGAACATGAGCAGTAAGACAAGCATCTCCCGCCCCCACCCCATCCCCTGGAAGCCGCCAGCTTTGAGCTGTTTTGCTAGCAGTGGGGTTGGATTTACACTGATCCATCCGCAGTCTCTCTGACAAGGGGGCTCTTAAGGCATTGACCTTGAGATGATGTGAGAAGGGATGAGACAGCTGGTCAGGATTAAGCGAGCAGCCTATGGGCCTGAAACCAGGTTGTGTCACCCTGCCCAGAATTATGACCTTAGGATCATGAGCATTATGCTCTCACCACCTAAGCTAACCAGTCACTGATCAGCCACGATCCAGCATACAACACTCTGGGGACACTATGTCTTCTGAATCCCAGCGACAATGTCATTCTATTTTTAAGGCAGCTGAATGCAACCCAAGACACCCAGAGGCTCCTGCATGATAGAGTCTATGCACAGACTGTCCCTCAAGGCAGCAATGAGATGTCCAAGCACAAGCAATCATGGCCCTTCCATCCTAATCAAATGACAGCTCTGTCAGAGCTTAGGAAAAGCAAGACACAGTCACAGAATTCCCCAAGCACGTTCTCTCCAAGTGCCACAATGGAACAATGTACCTGGCCATCCCCAGGCTTGGAAAGTTGGCAGGAACGATGAGTACATCCAGCCGGGAGAATGGGTGTGTCCCCAGCACAGAGTGTGCTGCTGAGAGGCAAGGAGACAGCAGCTGCAGAAGGGTCTCCTGGCAGGCACCTGTGAGGCTCACGGGGGCGAAGGCCCGATGAGGAATGACCTCCTGGGTTGTGGCAGAAGGGTTCTGGAAGCGGCAGGGGTATGCCACGTGGCCACAGACGCCAACACACCTGGAGACAACATAAAACAAACAGATGCATTTACGGTCTCGCTGTGGAGGTTAGGAGCTTTCACAGGCACGGGCAACTTCTAGGAGAGAGCAGTTCACAGGTTCCCAAGCAAAAACCGTATTTGAGTTTTCGGTCGCCTGATCTATGCAGCCGTGATAAAACACAGGTGGAAATACTTCTGATTGTGCTCAACTGTTGGAGTAATTTCAATCTAAGCTAAGTGAAAGTAGTAAAAACTTGTTTTAGAATAAGTGGGGAAAAAGCCCCAGGACTCAAAACAGTAAAACAACTTTCAAATATCACGATGGAAAAAAATCCTCTCCAAATCAGGGACGATTCATAACTCAGGAAGGAAGGGATGGTGCAGCCAAAGTAAAGATTGAATTCTGGAATTTGCTAGAATAAACGACGTGGGTTTCGGTAGAGAACAATGAAGCAAATGACAGTACAGCTTCTAATTCCAAAAGAGCACAATCCATTCTACTGAAAAGTAGTCTAGGCGGTTCTTTACAAAGACCATCAAAAGGTATGCTGTTAAGGAATACAGAGGTGCTCCCCCCCCCCCAATATATTTATTATTGATTGATTTTAGAGAGAGAGAGAAAGGAAGGGAGGGAGAGAGTGACACTGATTTGTTGGTCTACTTATTTAAGTATTCACTGGTTGCTTCCTGTGTGTGCTCTGACAGGGGACTGAATCCAAAACCTTGGACAATGATCTAACCAACTGAAATACTGGCCTGGGTCTACAGAAGCACTTTTGTATAGATTTTCACCAATCCATTTTCAATACAAATGTAACTAAAACAGCTTTTTAAAGAAACAGATCAGAGCCCAGCCTGCACCCTCTGGCCGCTGTCCTTTATTCTACCAAAGGTGGGGCTGAAAAAGAATTCCTTTAACCTGACTCACAGGCCCCAAGAGAACCATCTATGCAAAGAAATCCACATCAAAGGGAACTATTTTTTCACTTCTTAACAGGCCCTTTATTCAAACACTAGCGACCCAGTGCACAAAATTCATGCACATTTAAAGGGGATTACTTAGAGAAAATAATTTAATATTGCTATTTGCCCTTTCTCTATAATAGAAGTGTCAGAGATGGAAGAAAATTAGTAAAATGTATATGAAAACCTTCCTCCTGCCAGAGTCTGGGGCTCACCATGGGACCCAGAGTCAAGTCCCTACCTACCCACATGCACCTCAAAATCACGTGAGACCCAGATCCAGCTGCGCGCCCGCTCCCCGCACCACTACCACCACATTGGGCTAGATACAGACCCAGACAGTCTGACCCTTATCAAGCCCTGCTGGGCAGGGGGCGTAACCTCAGGTCCTCTGGCCCAGCACCAGGACAGGGGGCATGGCTTGAGGTCCCGCAGCCTAGAGTGGTGTAGGGGGCATGCCTTGAAGTCCTCCGTCAAGCCCTGCCAGGTTGGGGGCATAGCCTGAGGTCCCCTGTCAAGCCCTGCTGGGTGGGGGGCACCGCCTAAGGTCCCCAGTCAAGCCCAGCCAGGCAGGGGGGTGCAGCCTCAGGTCCCCTGGCCCGGTGCTGCGGCAAGGGGGTGTGGCCTGAGGTCTCCTGTCAAGCCCCGCTGGGCGGGGGTTGCGGTCTGAGGTCCCCCAGCTTGGTGCTGGGGGGGAGGCGTGGCCTGAGGTCCCCTGGCATAGTGCTGGGGCAGGGGGAGCAGCCTGAGGTCCCCTGTCAAGTCCCATGGGGCAGGAGAGGGCATAGCCTCAGGTCCCTGCTGATTGCTTATGGGAATTTGACCTCAGCTTGGGGTGCAGCCAGCTTTGTGATGGAGTGATGGTCAATTAGCATATTCCCTCTTTTTTAGTTAGGAAACAGTCCTCTACTTTTAATTTATAAATTATATTCCTAGTTATGAGGTTTATTAGATTCACTGAGAATTAAAAAAAAAACAAAAAACTTAAAATACTGGTACATTCCAATATGGGAGGACTGTAACAATAATGCTTCTCCAGATTTCTGAAGTGCCTTTCACCCACCCAAGGTCAGCAATGACTGCCCAGGAGGTCCGCAGAGTGATGGAGAGAAGCCTTGTCCTCCACCGTGTGGTACATAGAAGGCAGCTCCCAGCACCCATGCAATTTCGTCACAGCTGAGGGAAAAATAATGGGGGAAGTCTCATAAATACTTCGCCCAGGTTAAGGTGACAGGGAGAATATAATTGTTAAGCTTGCCAAAGTCCCTGGATGATAACCTTGCTTTTTGGAGAAAGTGAGAATAGGTGCCTGTTGGTAAACATTTAACCAAAAGGTTCAGTGTCCGCGTAAGGACTAGTACTGTGCTGGAGCATCAATTTAATGACAGCTCTCACAAAGTGAAAAATCATTTATTAAGTTAACCACCACAATACCTTCTCCTAATGTGTTTATATGGGTATGCAATGTGCTATGGTAATTTAAGATCACACTTTCCATTGAAAAGTTTGCAGAGACATTAAATAATGGGAAAATTAGAGGTGAAGTGGCATCTTCAGGACATCCCTCTCACAATTCAGGACTGTTGGCTCCCAACTGCTTGCTTGCCTGCCTACCTGATTGCCCCTAACCACTTCTGCCTGCCAGCCTGATCACCCTCTAATCACTCCCCTGCCAGCTTGATCGAGGCCTAACTGCTCCCCTGCTGGCTCAATTGCCCCCAACTGCCCTCCCCTGCAGGCCTGGTTGCCCCTAACTGCCATCCCCTGCCAGTCCAATTGCCCCCTAACTGCCTCTCCTGCAGGCCTTGTCCCCCCAACTGCCCTCCCTTTCAGGCCTGGTCCCTCCCAACTGCCCTCCCCTGCTGGCCTGATCACCCACAACTGCCCTCCCCTGCCGGCCATCTTGTGGTGACTATCTTTGACCACATGGGGGCGGCCAACTTGTGTGTTGGAGTGAGGGTCAATTTGCATATTGAAAGTATTGCAATCTGAATACTTTCCATACATTTCCCAGATAATGCACACAACATTCCTATAAGCAATAAGCACTATTCATCACAGCAGGAGTCTTCAGAAGCTCCTCCCTCCTGACTCTTCTTCATTAAACCTTATTTGCTTCTTAGGTAAATTTGGGTGCTAGAGTTTTTCCAAAGCTGAGCTCCGCGGCCCTTGGTTCTCCAGTGTCTGTTTCTCCTTGACAGTGCCGCCTGTTAATTCTGCCCGGAGTGGGAAGAAGGGTAGAACCACATTCGGCTGCTAAATGATGGGCACCAGACGTTGGTTCCCTCTCACAGGATGCTGGCCGAGACGACGTCACAAGCGGTCTCTCCAAGGAGCAGGGGTGGCCGTGTCTGACTCGGACCCACAGGACTGGACCCCACCTCCGGAGGTTTCAGACAGCGCTGTGCTGAACCCCGGCACAAACGGTCCTCTGTCCTGGGTTCAAAAGAAATTACTGGAAAGTCTCTCTGGGGAATGCACAGCCTTTTCCCACCAGCCTTCCCGGGCTCACGGTGCGGACTCAGTCACTATCCCGCACTCCTGCTCTTCCCGAGGCACTCCACGCGGAGCGGCCCTGCTCAGACCTGCGCGTAAGACGCCGACCTGACCTTTGGGGAGTTTACAGCTTTATCAGAAGAAAAAAATGTTAGATTCTGATTAGTTTAGTGACACAGTCCAATGTTTACCCAACTTATTAACATGTTTCAGCTAGCAGAGAAAATGCTTCCTGAAAATCACAAATGCTCAAACCACCACCACCTGCCCCCCAGCGGGTGGCTGACAGTGAAGGCCACACACATGATGATGTCATGGTGTCTGCACGCTGGAGTGTTTTCTGCGAACATTCGGTATATTAAAAAGCAAAATGAGATGTGTGCAATACGGGGCAGAAAGCCGAAACACCCTAGGGGAGCAGAGGCTGGACAAACAACCAGCCCAGAGGCCTGGAAGGTCCCCCCCAGGGAAGGTGCCCGGATGCTGGAGTTCCTGTGATTTCCCTCTGCCATTCCTTCTCCCTAAGGAGATGGAAACAAGGCCTCGGCCTCTCCGTCCCGCTCTTCACCGGCTCTGCAGCCTCTGCCAAGTCTGCCCTTCCACGGACGGAGTGAGCGCCTCGGCGCCCCTCACCCCCGGGCTCCTCCAGGCTCTGTGTGCCTGCTTTCCACGCTTCTCACTGTTTTTCCTGAGCTCCTCCGACTTTATCCAAGGTCCTGCTTAATCTGAATAGCCCCAAAGTGAAGGCAATGCTTTAACAAAGGCCTGGAGAGGTAAAACTTAATACAAAGATTTCCTGGTGGCTGGAGAAGGAATACTGCAGCCAAATAAAATTAATAAACTTTCCACAGTTTGTCTAAGTGCCTTATAATTAATGTATTTACCAAAATGCTCACCCAGAGTGAGCTGGAGCACATGAGGAACTGGAGCTGGAAGAGGACTGCTCTCCCCATAATTTGGCCCACATGGACAGGGATCAGAGATTTAGTGACCAGCCCTGGCCAGTGTTGCTCATTGGGCAGAGCATTGGCCCATCCACAGAAAGATTGTGGTTCGATTTCTGGTCGAAGGAAGGGCACATACCTGGGTTGCAGATTTGATCCCTAGCCCTAGTTGGGCAAATGCGGGAGACAACCAGCTCCCCCCCACAACCCCCTCTCTTCTCTCTTTCTCTCTCTCTTCCTTCCCTCCCTTCCACTCTCTCTAAAAATCAAAGGAGGAAAAAAAAAATCTTGGATGAGGATTAACAACAACAAAAGTTCAGTGACCAATACTTTGGCCAAATTTCTGGGACCCAGATGAACACATTAGGCAAATAAAAGCCTACAGTATCTAAGGCCCCTGTAAAAGTTACATTTCTGTGAAGTGAACTAGTGGTCTTAGGAAGGTTTGAGGTAGAAAGGGGGGTTGGGAGAGAGAAGGGGACCAGATGTGAACATAACCAAAAACAGTGCAGTTGGCACTTCAGAGCACCTTTGTTGGCAAACTTAGCGTAGAGCCAGAGATTTAACGGATCAAAACACAAAGCCACCCTCTGACGACTAAAGACAGCACACGTGAAGCACGCAGCCGGGGAAGGATTAAGCAAATGTAAGCTATTATTCTATCAGCAGCGCATTTCTGACGGACAAGCACAGTGATAAATGAAGGGAAAACTTAGTCGTAGCATGTCAGACACGGAAGGGAGTGCGGGAGGGACTTCACCCACCAGACCTCCTATTTCCAAACCAGGACAGGCTGCCCTGCAGTGTGCCCATGCCCTGGGTCTCCAGCTGATCTGACTGGCGGGGTCCCTCTGGACTTTCTCTTTAGCTTCTGCTTGTCCACAGAGGGGGCCCCTTACCTCTTAGGCAGGCTGTGTGCATCGGTGCAGTGGAGGCTAGCAGTGGGCCAGCTGGGGGAGGCCTGTCTAATTTGGAGAGGGAGTATTAGAAAGCCCGTTAACCCTGTACACCTGAGCCTTCCCTCAGTCCAGCTTCTGTCAATAATAAAACCTTTCTTTTGTTCTCCTGTCTCTCAATTGGTTCTGAACTCAGGAGGACAAGAGAGGGGTTGTGTTTGCCCCATTCCCTAAACCCTAACAGGGATACAGAAGTCCTGTCTTCCCAGAATCCCCATCACCTGCCATGCGCTCCTCCTTCGCAGACATGGATGCCAGAGGAGTGCACAGCCATCTCAGCTGCTTCCAGGCAGCAGAGAGCACGCACAGGAGGTGCTTGCTGCCTTCTCCCCACTTAGATCTCTGGGACATGGCTAGCAGACAGAATAACAGATGTCTTTCTCCGCCTTCCCCTAGCCTTCCTGAGGCACACATTTTATAACGGCACACCTCTGACAGAGAACCAGGCCGCGCTGTGCGTGAAGAGCAGGATGCTCCTTCCCAGGAAGAAACCGAGAAACTCCCCTCCTCAGCACACCCCCGGCGAGCTCTGTATTCTACAGAGAAGGATGGTTTTTTCCAAAGAGACTTACTTAGCCAACAGGGATAGCACCTCCAGGCTCAAAGGTAGTGCTCTCGCCTCCTATTTTCTGTCACAACATGAATCATTCAAATTGCTAACAGTGACTCAGTCCTGGCACTGACTATCCCGGTGAAAGTGGACCAGACTCCAGGTGGGGCATGGGTGTTATGCACAATTTTTAAAAGTTCCCAGGTAAGATTCTGAACCACTCTCCAGAGGGTTCAGCCCAGATATGAATCCAGATCTTGTAACTCAGGAGGCATGAACAAGTCCTAGCATCGTTATTTTACCTATAAAATAGAAATAATAAAACCTATCTATCATATAGGCTTATCCTAAGAACTAATCAAGATGACATTTAAATCAAGACTTTCCTGGATTTCAAACATCCAATGGCGTCTGCATCAATTCAGGCTAGGATATGCTGCCATAACTCACAACCCCAGTATCTTAGTCACTTAACACAAACAATTTATTTCTTGCTCATACCAAGTGTATCGTGGATCCAGGTGACTACCCTAGGCAGCTGTCCTCCCTACTCAGAAATCGGGCTCCCCAGAATTGCAGAATGAGGTCTACTGTGGGATTTCAGTGACAGGGGAAGAGGGCATTAGGTCTCACAAACAATTCAACATTCCCACGTGAAAATAACATAGGTCACTTCTGTCTACAATTCTCTTCTTCCCTCAAGAGTGCATAAGTACAACGCAAAAAGCAATCTAGGATACTCTATATAGATCAGGGAAGATAGCCCAGAATAGGTAAGTTACTAAGTAAGAAGTGGAAATTACCTCCCTTCCTCCAAAAAGCAGTAGGTAGGCAATAAGACATACCCATCAAAAGAGAGGGCTCAAAGGCTTTGTCTTTGAAAGACACCAACCACCACCATCACTGCAAAAGCAACCTGGCAAAACAAAACCAACACAAAAGGGATTTGTCCTACGAGCGCATCTTAGCTGGCTTTCAAGGATGAGCTAACTCTCTGTCCCGAGACTCTGGGCGTCCTCCACCTGAAGGTACTGACTTAGTGACTACCTGTAAATAGGAAAATGATTAAACTGAGCTGGATGTAAAAGTTCTAGAATGAAGCGCGATTCCACACGACATGACCAGCACACTCCCATGCCTGGTACGTGCATTCCCCTTCTCTCCTTTGGCTCTCAAAACAGCTGAACATCTGGGAAGGCTGCAAGTGAATAGCTGTTAGAAGTAAGGTGAGCCCCCCAAGTCAGGGGTCCTGGTAGAATACAAAACACTCGGGAGCCAGGCAGCAAGACAAACATATTGACTTCTACGTAGCAGGGTGCACACACATGGTCTGAAAGCGTGTGCACACCGAGCAGACTGTCTGCTTGGCTTTATAATCCCTGATGCATGCGACCTGTTCTTTGCTCTTGATTGGAGCTCAGGTGCATAGTCTTTCCAATTGGCTAATTCAAAGGGTGGCCCCCAGGGGAGCTGCAAGCCATTTGGCCAACATGGCGGCTGCCAAGTCATGCGGTCCAAAATGGCAGATGTCTAAAAATGTTCTTTGACTTGTTTATTCTCACATACCTAATGGTCTATACTAATTTTTAAAAAGTTTAAGCCGATTTTCTCTGATCAACTCTGAAATAGAAGGAATTGCTACTGAAGGGAACAGAGCCCTAACCTAGCAGGATTCTCATAACGCAAAGGCCTGTGACGGCTTCCTTGGGTCCTATGCTCCCAGGCTTCCCACAAATGCACTGCTAACAGCAGTCAGAGGGGCTTACAAAGGAATCCATCCAACAGCAGCTTATTTTTGTTGTGTTTTTTACTAAATAAGCTCTGAAACCCAAAGTTAAGAGATGTAGGAAGAGGAAGTTTTGGATCTGAAGTTCCTGTTGACTTAACCAAATATACAAAAATATTTCACCTGACTTCACAGAAGATTTCTTATACATTTATCTTATTTTATTGTTCTTTCCGCATGAACAATATGCCCACATGTCTACCTCTCAACTCTCTTTCCCTCCCAGCAGGGCTTTTCCTGCTTTGAGTAACCACAGTCTGGGACTACTCACATCCCCAGGGCTTAGAATAAGTGCATCATTCTGCTCCCTGGAGTGTCTGTTTTCCAGCAACATCCCAAACACAAACCTGAAGTCAGCCTCGGGCGGCGAGAGGGTCCGCTTTGCTGCCAGGTCACGTAGTGAGCAGGTCTCTGGCTTCACTTCTGTCCAGGATCCCACTGCAATTGTGAAGGTAGATGCTGGCATTGGCATGGTTACGTAGTAATGCCAGCTTGAGCACCCTATAAACAGAAAGAGAAAAATCACAGTGAGACCCATGTATGGTTCTAGACCTCGCTTGTATCTTTTCTCTTTAGGCCATTAAAGAACTTGTGTCCTAAGATGGTTCGTATGAGCCAGTTCTTGGAGGTGGGCTGTGTCAACTGAAGGGGCACTATTCCAGGTCTCAGGAAGAGAGATGATAGTTTCAGGGCAACCAGGGAGGTTTGGATCTATTCCAAGCATCAGTTTGAAGCCATTCAAGTGAGGCTATAAACGTAAGGAACAGGGGACCAGCCCAATATATTAACAGATAAAAAGAATGAGGAATATAAGACCTGGAGTTCCTGAGTTAACTGGTGGTTGAGGTGATCACTAATAGCTGAAAACACAAAAAAAGTATAGGTTGTATGCTTCTATAGAGACCAAAAAAAAAAAAATATATATATATCTTATTCATCCTATTGCCTAATACAGTACTTGGCATAAAAAAATAAAAATAAGAAATAAAAATAGATGCTCAGTTGAATGAATGGATGGATGATTAATAAACAAATGAATTATCACTTCTATTCTGCTAAACTCTTTTGTCTGAATTCAATTCAAGCCCATCTAAAATGGATATAGTAGAATACAATGACACTAGAGAAAGGAGATACCTAGGTTTTAGCCCCAACTCTGAAACTAATTAACTGTGGAAGTTCAGATCTCATATTCCTCATCCTTTTTAATCTGTTAATATATCGGCTGCTCCCCCTTTCCTCACTGAGCAGGTGAAAAGCAGGCCTGGAAAGGTTCCATGGAGCCAAGGAGTCCCAGCTAGTTGTAACAAGGCTGGACTTACAGTTGGGGCTCCCCACCCCAGCCAGGGGTGTGCCCGCCAGTTAGTCCACACCTTAGAGAAGGCTTTTACCAAGGAATAAATGATTGATAACTTGTAACACTATACTGCCTTACTTCTGAGATAGAAAAATGATTTTAATGTTTTTGAAATCTGAATGTGTCATACAACCTGATTTTCCATAGTATTTTTCTCTGAGTATCTGCTATAAATTGTCTTAAGAGGAATTACTATCACCTCATATTATCGAACACAGTTCTCCACTCCTTATTCTCCTCATGTTCCATTAGAGCACATGTGTCAAACACAAGGCCCTCGGGCCAAATCCGTCCCGCCAGGCCTTGCAATGTGGCCCGCACCGCGTTGTCATCACTGCACTCTGCTGCGTTTCCATCACAATGACAGTTTATGACTGTTCAGTAAACCATTTGGCCCGCGATTTAGGCTGGATTTTAGATTCTGGCCCCTTCTCTAATTGAGTTCGACACCCCTACATTAGAGTAACACAACCTAGACTCTCTTTCAGCCCCTCATTAACCCCACCGACTCCTCCAGCCCATCCCCACCTCCGACCCCAGGCCCTCACCACCCCACTATCTGTGTCCATGGGTGCTCCTTTTAAAAACAAAAACAAAAACAAAAAACACACCAGTTTTATTTTTTAAATTGATTTTACTGAAAGAGGAAGGGAGAGAGAGAAAAGCATCACTATAAGAGATAAACATCAAACAGTGCACCAGTAAGCATCCCAACCTGGATCAAACCCAAAACCTGGGTATGTACCCTGATCTAGAATCAAACCTGTGACCCTTCAATCAATCCTGTGCACAGGATGATGCTCCAACCAACAGAACCACACCAGCCAGGGTAAGGCACGCTCCTCTTTAAAGATGAGAGACTTTGGGCAAGATGGCAGGGTAGGTAAACATGAAATGGGTACTTCCCTCCTCCCAACCACATTATAATTAAAACTAAACTATAGAAAACGACCATTCCACTCAGAACTGCCTGAAATCTGGCTGATTGGAAGTCCTACAACTAGGGAATTGAAAAAGCCAAATCAAGACTGGTAGGAGGGGTAGAGACGTGGAAAAAGCTGGTCCCACACCCACATATGGCAGAGAAAAATCATGAGAGATATTTCGGCCACAGAGATTCCTCCCCTGAATTCCCCGCTGAGAAGTGATGGGTCCCAGTCCCAGGACATCAGCCCAGGGTACCAGTGTCAGGAAAAGAAGTCCCCATAACTTCTGGCTATAAAAATTAGCCGAGGGCCGAAACCGGTTTGGCTCAGTGGATAGAGCGTCAGCCTGCGGATTGAAAGGTCCCAGGTTCGATTCCAGTCAAGGGCATGTATCTTGGTTGCGGGCACATCCCCATGGAGGGTGTGCAGGAGGCAGCTGATTAATGTTTCTAACTTTCTATCCCTCTCCCTTCCTCTCTGTAAAAAAATCAATAAATTATATTTTTTTAAAAATCAGCCGAGGATCATGGCTGAATGACACAGAGGCTGCTGGACTCCCAGGTAGTTCCTCTTAAAGGGTCCACATGCAGACTTACTCAGACTCATTCCCTCTGAGTTCTAATGCTGGACAGCAGCTTAAAGGACAACAGAGGCAGATGGGGAGGAACTGAATTATTTGCTGAGCAAGAGCTGAGGGTGGGGTAGCTTTCTCCCAGACTGAAGTGCTGGCAAAAGCCATTATTCCTTTGATGATCCCTCCCCTTCAGAGCTGGCAGTCAGAGTCTCCATCAACCCGGCTAACACTGTTTTCCCCACCACAGTGATTTTCTGAGGCTCTGCCCCACCCAACTTTCGGGCCCACCCAAGCTGTTTCCATTGGCTTTTCCATACCAATGGCCTGTCTTGGCTAATGCTTCAAATTTTCCTAAAATCTCTCAACCAACCAGCATCTGGCCTTGGTTCATAGCTTGGCCTCTCCTGGGCAACTCCAAGCCCAGAACAAGTAGCAGCCATTTGCAGACCACTTTGTAGCTAATGCTGGGTGGCCCTGGGCAGTGGCTGACCTTGAATTGCACCTCCCTGGAGGTCCCAGAGCCAGCGCACCCAGTGAATAGCTTCAGACAATGATGAAGCATCACTCTCCAACCACCTTCGTAAGCCACACACATACTAGGTGTACCAAGTAATACGGATTTTTTTCAGTAGATGGAATTACACATATGTTGATATATATGAAATTGGATATGTATGCTATTTTCTTGTATTGACAACAAGCTTCAAAACTTCATATGTCAAATTTGCTGAAGGTGTTAACATCATAGATATTTTTGTGCTTAAAAATTTGTGCCAAAAAAAGAGCATTTACGGGAAGTTGTACTTCATTATTTTATTTTGAAGAAAAGTGCTGCTGAAAGTTATCGTATACTTTGGGAAGCTTATGGTGAACATGCTCATCTCAAGATACTTATGAATGCTGGTTTAAACACTTTAAAGTGATGATTTTGATGAGAAAGACAAAGAATGTCCAGGTCAACCGAAAAAGTCTGAAGACCAACAATTAAAAGTATTATTGGATGAAGATGCATGTCAAACTCAAAAACAACTTGCAGAAAGATTAAACATTGTTCAGAAATCAATTTCCGATCATATACAAGCAATGGGAAAGATTGTAAAGGAAAGAAAATGGGTGCCACATCAACTGAACAAAAGACAAATGGAAAACCAAAAAGTCATTAATAAAATGTTGCTTCAATAGCACGAAAGAAGGTCTTTTTTTTTGCATCAAATTGTGACTGGCAATGAAAAGTGGATTTATTTTGAGAATCCCAAATGCACAAAATGATGGGTTGATCCAGGTCAACCATCAACATTGACTGCAAGGCCAAATCGCTTCAGAAAGAAGACAATGCTCTGCATTTAGTGGGATCCGGAAGATGTGGTGTATTATGAGCTTCTAAAACCAGGTGAAACCATTAATACTGACTGCTACTGAAAACAAATAATGAATTGGAACTATGCTTTGATTATAAAATGACCAGAATGTGCCAGAAGACACAGCAAAGTAATTCTGCTTCATGATATTTCAAAAAATCTTGCCTGGGAAGTATTAACCCACCTGTCGTTTTCACCAGACTTTACTCCTTCAGATTACCACTTGTTCCGATAGATGGCACACACACTTTCTGAGCAGCACTTCAAAACATAAGAAGTAGTGGAAAATTGGGTCTCTGAATGGTTTGCCTCAAAACAAGAAAAGTTCTATTGGGATGGTTTCCACAAATTACCTGAAAGATGGGAGAAATAAGTAGCTAGCGATGGACATTACTTTGAATAAAGCACTTTTCTTTTCTTTCTTTTTTATTTATTTATTTATTTATTTATTTTTTTTACATATTTTAATGATTTTTTTTTGCCCCCCTCCCTCCCTCCCCCATATCCCCTCCCTCCCCATAGTTTTATGTCCATTGGTTGTACTTATATGCATGTATACAAGTCCTTCGGTTGATCTATTATCTCCCTCAGATCCTCCCCTCCCCGCTGTAATTTGACAATCTGCTTGTTGCTTTACTGTCTCTATAGCTATCTTTTGGTTCATCAGTTTATAATGCTCTTTATTATCCACAAATGAGTGAGGTCATGTGGTGTTTCTCTTTCATTGATTGGCTTATTTCACTCAGCATGATGTTCTCCAATTCCATCCAGGTTGCTGCAAAAGATGAGAATTCCTTCTTCTTTATGGCAGCATAGTATTCCATTGTGTAGATGTACCATACTTTTTGGATCCAATCATCTGCAGACGGGCGCCTAGGCTGTTTCCAAATTCTGGCTATTGTAGATTGTGCTGCTATGAACATATGGGTGCATATATCCTTTCTGATTGGTGTTTCTAGTTTCTTGGGATATATTCCTAGGAGTGGGATTACTGGGTCAAATGGGAGTTCCATTTTCAGTTTTTTGAGGAAACTCCACACTGTTCTCCACAGTGGTTGCACCAGTCTGCATTCCCACCAGCAGTGCACGAGGGTTCCTTTTTCTCCGCAACCTCGCCAACACTTGTCGTTTGTCGATTTGTTGATGTTGGCCATTCTGACAGGTGTGAGATGGTACCGCATTGTTGTTTTGATTTGCATCTCTCGTATAATTAGTGACTTTGAGCATGTTTTCATGTGCCTTTTGGCCTTCCTTCTGTCTTCTTTTGAAAATATTCTATTTAGGTC